TGCGGTGCCTGGCGAAGCGCGCGGCGCTGGCCGGCGTGCCCACCTACATCGAGCACTTCAGCAAGTTCTCGCCCTCGCCGCTCTCCATGAAGCAGTTCCTGGACTTCGGTAAATACCCGGCCCCCCTCCCGGGCAAATACCCTCCTTCCTCCTCCTCCTTCCTCCGGCTCCCGGTCCGCACCCGGCCTGGCCCAGCCGAGCTCCTGTGCCCCGCCCCTCCGCTGGAAAACACCCGCCTCCGGGTAAATAACCCCCCTTCCTCCATAAATACCCAGGGCAGCGGCTGCTTTGAGCAGGTACTGCCATCCCGCACCCTCGCCCCGTAAACACCCGGTAAATAATCCCCCTCTTCCCACCCTCATAAATACCCAGGTTGAGGGGCTGGCTGTTCTGGCACTGCCCTCAGGGAGAGATCCCTGGTAAATAACCAGGTCTGGGGAAAAATCCATTTCTGAGGCAGTTGTCTCTCTATACACCTGCTTGTGGAAATATTTACCTGCCTTATAAGTGCCTGCAGGGAGATACTTCTGCTGGGGAAAGGCCTCCAGCTGGGTAAATACTGCCCTGGGTAAAAACGGGTGCCCCCCGGCCATGCTTACCAGGTAAATACCCCCCGGGTAAGTACAACCTCAGCATCGCCGGTGTCCTCCAGGCTGGGTGAATACGTGCCAGCTGCAAACCCTGTCTGTGCTAAGGCCAGGGCATCTCCTGGCCCCTTGCACCGCTGCCGGGTAAATAACCCTGTGCACAGCCCTGTGCCATACTCACCCGGGTAACTATTCCCCTCCTGAATGCACTGTCCAGGGACAGCCCTTCCTTGCCTGCACAGATGGGTAAATACCCAGCCCAGGGTTTCTCCCCGGCCTGTGCAGCCCCGGTGATGCCCGCTGGGAACCACCCCGGGTAAATACCCGAACGGGGCAGGGCTCTCGCTGCCCTTCCCTGGGGTCTGCAGCCGCTTCCCGTCCAGCCCTGGCTCCCGCCGGCTGCTCTAAGGTCACTGCTATATTTACCCGTGTCCCCTGGGCGCTGTCACCCGCGGCTGTGCCCGCGCTCGGGGGCTGCAGCTCCCGGCTGCTCCGTGTGGGAAGGGGGATCTCGGGCCCTGGGGACCTTTGGGTGCCCCCTGCACTGAGGGTGCCCGGGGGCTCCCAGTTTGGGCTCCAGTGGCTGAACGGGCTGCCCCGCAAAGGGGCTCCGCTGTGTCCCCATCTTGTCCCCTCTCCTTGGATCCCTGCTTAGCTGAGCACAGAGACCTGCTGCTTCCCGGTACCCCTGCTTGCACCCTGCTGATAGAGGGACTGAACTGGCCCCGTGTCACACCGTGGATCCTCTGCTGTCCCCTTACCCCCCTGGGTGTCACACACACGTCCCCCCTTTCCCGCAGGCTCCAGCAATGCCTGTGAGAAGACGTCCTTCGCCTTCCTGCGCCAGGAGCTGCCCGTCCGCCTCTCCAACATCATGAAGGAGATCAACCTGCTGCCCGACCGCGTGCTGCACACCCCCTCCGTGCAGCTGGTGCAGAGCTGGTGAGCACCCATGGGTGCTGCCGCCCGCGCGGGG